ATATATATATATATATACAAGTTTTATACTTCATACGTATAAAACAATCTTGGTTTGGACTAGAGATTACGTGAACAAATAATATTGAGAGTACTTATAGAATTAGATTTAGATACTATAGTATGCAAGATTAGTTAAAAAATTCGTAGGTATATGTATGTGCGATATTGATGTAGTATTATTATATCAAAATATGTCAATGTGTTGTATTGCTTACATTTGACTTCACACATTGCAAATTATATCTGATACATATTAAACTAACGTGCTTTTATAATTACAGATTTCATATGCAAAGTATTACACAAATAAATTTTATTTAATAAAACACAAAGGCGTATATTACTGTAACATTGAGAATGACCCAATCGGAGATTTGTCTTTGTAGCTATATATTATTATTATTTGAATTAAAGTTTTTTATTTGTTACATCGTCGACTCTTTGCCTCTTTTTTTATTTACAAAGGCATATTTTTAAAGAAGTATACAGTGGGTGTAATCAAATTATTAGAACCATCGGCATACATTAAAGATTTTACGTTAAATCACTAAAATTAATTTTTATAAATGAAAATATAGGAACACTGTGTTTTACTTTTTTGTGAAATACTTATGTTTACAATTTTAAATACTCTTGGCACCACTGTAGATAACACTATCTCTTATATATACATCATTTAATTAATCCCATTGAGTACCTTGATGAAAAAAAAATTCCAAAAAATGTATCACAAACAAATGTCAATTAATCGTACGTTTAATTATTGTGTATCATAAGAGTGAAACAATAAAAATAAACGGCTTAAAATATAGAAACACCCAAATAAATTGACACAAAATTGTTGCAAAGATGATGTTTTACCAAAATTAAGTATTAATTTTATTTTCATTTCTACTTTATGATTTATAATTACATAAGGTAAGATAAAATAAATTTTTTAAATGTATTTTTAAATACATTTTAGTGTACAATTGTTAAAAATTATCATGCGTGAAAACCTGAATACTGATTTTATTTCTACACAAACTACATAAAAAGAAATCACATTTTTCGAACTATGGCTTTAATAATATGATCATCCACTGTAGCGAGCTTAATTGATAATGTTCCTCTATTTCAATATAAACTTCTAGTCACTTACCCGCCATTATAAGGATGATGTTGATCCGAACTGCTCGGCGTTTGATGCTCGAATACACTGCTGTCTGGCGCCGTCTCTGAGGCTGCCCTCATTTGCGCCCTATGGAATCTGACCTCATCTTCGACCTTCTCCCGTTGTTTTTTCGACATGCGCCCAAATTTAACGGCTTTAAACAAACAAAAAATCAAGAATTTTTTTTAAATTTAAATTTTGATCGTTACAAAAATTGAATCAATTTTAAAATTTGTTTATGTGGATAACTTTTCGATAATAATCATATTTAGATTGAAACATAACTATAGTAAAAAAGTATTTTTAAAAAGCGCTTTGAAGAATCTTTTATTACTTCATTCAAAGAATCTTTTATTACACATTCCTATATATAGTATATATTGAACAAAAACAAGACAAAATTGTTTGCCTGATCAAAATGGCAATAAAATAGAACTTTCATTTTTTTGGCCCTTCACTTCGACTAATTTAAATCATATTATGAGAGAGACAGTGCAAAATATGAATTCCAAATATACAGGACTTTAAGTTCTGCAAAATAATACATGCTTTATAATTCTTTAATACATTTTATAGAAACAATTTCATACCACGCATGAATTTCTTAACCTTATTCTTAAACTTGTAAATATATCGATTCTTATTTTTTTTAATTATACATTTATTATACAAAGTTATACGAGCGATATAATAATTTTATTCTGATTTCTAACATAGCTTTCAGATAAGATGAAGTACCTACGTAATCAAATATATTGCGCCCCAAATGCTTTTTTTTCGATCTCTCTTTCTCTCCCTCCCCTTTCATCTTCATTTTTATGAATTCATTATCGTCAATTACGAACAATTACAGATCAAGAGCGATCATCGATGTGTCGATTCGTTGCAAGGCGATGAAATCTAACGGGTGTTCCGCAAATCGATCAAGATCAAGTTGCACGCGACCCTTCTCCCACCGGTCGTTCGGTCGATCCCTTCCTCGCCACAAAGAAGGCTCGGCGAGGAACGCGGAAGAGCCTCACCGCGTCCTCCTCGTCTTCTTCGGCGACGCTATCATCGTCTGGTCGCGACGCACCCACCCGATGACGTCACACGCATGAACTATAGCTCGTACAAACGCATATATATACTGTCCCGAAAGCGTAACACATTATTTAGAGTATCTGTAATTTCATGCACATATTTTCGCTATTTTTAAGTCGATTTTTCCTCAATAAAAATTATGGTCATTTTTTCTTCATTTTTTTTTTCAGAAATAATAAAAAATAGGTATTTATCATAAATTCAATTTAAAAATCTTAGAATATGTTCTTTTTTAATTAATTACAAAAGAATTTAGATGATTTTTTAATAAAGTATTTTATTATCAGAATATTTAATATCAACTCTTCATAATGTGAAACTTTCAATCTTGGTTCTGAGATATTGAGGCTCACATCAAATTTATTTATTGTTCCAGATTATATATAAAGTATTTATACATTTATTGATGAAATTAGTGTCAAAAACATGAAAATAAGAAAATTTTGTTTAATTTACTAAAAATACGCGGTCTGCAAGATAGGTCATTGTGTGTATGTACACGCACGGTTTCTATATGTCGTTGGATGAAAACAAACACTGCATACCAGCTCAACATTGCCAAGTTTTTTTTAGAATGAGAAACCAAACTCTATATATCATCTATTCATTATTTTAGAATTTACAGTTAAAAAATTGACTGTGCATCAAAAATTTCACATCGCCAGTGAAGAGAATTAAATATAAAAGTTATTAAAAAATAAAAAGTATTAAAAATAATAATACACTTGTATATATAATATATATGTATACATTTTAAAATATTAGTTTGTATTGGTTGAAAAATTTCGCCATTTGAAATGAATTTATATGACACATTGTGTCTAGTTACAGGGTACTATATGTGTTTCATGTATCATCCCTTACATATTCTGAAAGCAATTTTAACCTCAATTTTCAAGGCTTGACATTTTTCGGTAGCAATTTATAGTGAACTGACATTTTACATTTGCGCGCATTTAGTGTTGCAAGAATACTACTTCAATTTATTACTTTTGATTGTTTTGTAGGCATTTAGTTTCTGAGTCCCAAATTAAAATGAAAATACAAAGTTAAAATTTTAATTGACTACGAAAAACCCTCCATATTCTCTTTTGCTTAACTTTGACAAATACGAAAATTAAACTTTATAAAAGAATATAAACTATCAAGTTTATTGAAACTATTAAGTTTGTCGAAATCGACTCATTAAGTTATAACAAATTAAAAAATGAATTATAACAATAAATGACAGGTAATATGAATCAGCTGCTGGTTATTGTTAGCGAATATACTTTTTAATATTTCAACTTATGCAAATATTTCGAAAACATTCAATTTTACCAAAAAACATTCTAAATAAAAATTGTATGTTATGTCGTCTCCATTGTATATCCCCCTCTATATTATATTTTTATTTGGAATGTTACTTGATAAAATTACATATTTTCAAAATATTTATCAGTTAAAATAAAGTTAATTATTCTGTATAAAAATATATCGTTTAAAAATAAAATTTTTAATTGTACAAAAAATCTTTTAATTAGAAAATGTTTGTATTATAAGTTCGTCTTTGGTCGGTTTTTATATTAAAATTTATATTGTATTTTCAATAAAAAACGGAGATAGGTTAAAATTTATTTTACTCAAAAAATTTTCTTTTAAACTGTTTTTCATTGCGCATTTTTTAGCACGTAGAATAAATGTATTCGATAAAACATGTTTCCTACTTATATATATATATATATATCTTTTCAGATAAAAAATTTATTATATTTTGAATTAAGAAAAACGTTGGTTAATCAAAAGCAAAGTAATCGTTTAGATTATTTCCTTCAATATTCTAATCAAATTAAAAAGATTTTTTAAACACTTTGTTTGCGGTAGCAATGCATTCTTGATTTAGTGGCATCCTGTCACTACACGCATATAGTCACGCATGTAAGTCTCATGAGGGTGGTCGAGGGCTCGAATGACAATAGAGGGTGAGGGGTTGATAAGAGGGATTGCGATGTCAGCGGCTAACCGAATGGTTATCATGTGGAGGCACGGCGAGGAGAAGAGGGAGGAAGCGGAGGGTGATCGACCGACTGCGGATAAAGTATGGACGAGAGAACGAGACGGAAAGAAAAGGAAAGAGATAGAGACGGAGATGGCAACAGGAAGAGTATGCACCAACCGGTAGCTTACGATGCACTTTCTGGCATTCTGTATACACGCGGGCGCGCGCGTGCACACACACACGCTCGCGCATGTGAGTAGAAACGGTGTATTTGCAGCTTATCGCGCCGGAGAGTAAATAAAGCGATACTGAATCTAAAATACACGCCGAGACGGTTCCCGTTACTAAATCCCACTTTAATCTTTCCGAGTCCGAGTTCTCATTTTGTTAAAAGAAAACTCTATGTCACGAAGTGTTTTCAGCATCGTGATAATCAAAACTGATATAATTTGAGTGAATTTCGAGTGTATATGAATACAATACGTTCGTTATAATGAAAGTAATGAAACATATCTATTTAATAAAAATAATATGTTTGAATTAACTCAATTAATTAAAATAACTAATTAAATTGTATTCAATTTATAATTTTACTTAGAGGTACTTAATTTTTTTAATTATTAAAATATATTTTTCAAGTGTTATTATTATTTTAAAAATAAATCTTAAATGCGTATATAGTATTTAATATGAATAAAAATTAAAATTAAAAATTCGAATTTATATTCTTAAACTATTTCAAAATGCAAAAAAAATTAGTGATATATTTAATCTCAAGCATTAAATCATTTTAAGTATTGAAAATTATATATATTACTATAATAATAAATAACATTTTTACTTAAATTTTAATTTAATACACATACATTTCTTCGTGTGAGAAATGTTATTAAATTTAATTAATTGTCAACAAATGTACAACTGTTATAGATAATTTTATGTTAAAATTAAGCATGCAATTCCATCATTGTAATTAACATTCCTATCGGTAACACATGACTTGTTAATTACACATATAAGTTACATTTTTTATCGATTTTAGTATATTCATTATATCTTCATATGGCAAATAATTTTAACGAACCAGACTTGAATGTGAATCGCACGACGTTATTTGTCTGTAGTTAGATAAAAAACCGCGCTTGATAATTGGCCATCGAAAAGCAGGAAGTTGTGGTTGTGCCCGAATATCGCGGCTGAATATATATATACCATCCGATCTATGTAAATTGTAAAATAAAAAGACATTCCACGTTGTTGATTTGACATTGCGCAGTTATTTATCACAAAAACAAAAAGTATAATACATAATTAAGTTAGAAAGATTGGAATATATAATATAATATAAATTGTATTATATATATATATTATAATTAACATATATAAATAAAAACTCTCTTGTCAACATTTACTTTATATAAAATTAAGATTTTTCAAAAGTTTTCAAAATTAATCAGAAAGGGTTTACTTTCTCTAAAATTTTTTGGAGTAATTTAAAGTATGTAAAAGGTTAGTTTAAAGTGATCTAAAAACTTTGAAGTATCTCTAATATTAAAGTATTTCAATATTAACTTGAAAATAATCTTAGAAAAACTAGGTTTTATTAATTTCCATTGCATCTAGGATTTTTAAAGTGCTCGAAAGTTTAGAAGTAATACTAAGTCGACATAAAGTTCACTCGCGAACAGTAAGCGACAGCACCACTAGATGGATATAATGGTGCTACATTTTCTCATAAATAAAATTCATATACGATAGAATAAAAAGCACAGCGTTGAGATTTTTCATTCATATTCTTATAAAATAATTTTTTGATAACAAGCTACTTTATAAATAAAGATAGGATTTACTTTAAAATTTAAACAAATTTGTAATTTTACAATTTTTATTTCAAAATTTTAATTTATTTTTTATAATTTTTAAGTTTTAAGATACCCCTTTCGTATTTCTTAGGTTTCCTTCTCAGTTTTCTCTACAATGAGTTTTAAGATTTTTTAAAGATTCTTAAGGTAAATTTTCCCAAGAAATATAAAAGATTTAAAAACATATAATTTTCAAATAAATAAATATTAACTTTAAAAATAATATATTAAAAAACAATTCAGAAATAAAAAAGAATATAAGAATATATAATTTTTTACATAAATAAATATGGACCCTAAATTAAAAATATACAAATTGTTTCAATCATCTTAATTAATAAATTAAGTTTTTAATGATTTGTTTTAATTTTTCAAAAAATAAATATAAGATTTTTAATTATCAAAATATCACTAAAATTGAAAGAGTAGATTTTTTAAATCAATAATGCTATTAAATACATCTGAAATTTATAATATAAGTAATAAAAACTCAACTAGCACTACATTTTTTATACTAGAACAAAGACTTTTTTGATTAATTGTAATTAAATGCTATACATTATAATATATGAAACATTTAATCTAGCTTTATATTATTCATAATTCATGTTCTATCTACTTCTTATTATTAATTTTAGATATATATACACATACATATATATATATGTATGTATGTACTACAATATGGAATGTGATCTATATAACGTTTTCGAGATCTTTGATCGTTCAATGCTCAATTTAGATTCGCGGAAGTAACAATCACAGGACAATAAAAATAGCCGGCGCATATAAAATTTATGCTGTACCTCTGATGTGAGTCAGATCGGGTTTATTTATCGAACGATGTAGAGAAGTTCAGCGACGCAAGATCGAAGAACGAAATAAATGTGCTCGATTAGTGATACATTTTGTTTCACAATGTCGTGTCGAAAGAGAAACAACAATCTTTCGAATGTTCAGAACAGAAAGAATGCTTTCAAAAGAATATCTAGAAATAAATATTTCCTGCAAAAGTTTTAAATTATAAATTTTCGTTAATTGCATTATTGAAAAATTCAATTAATGTTACCTATATTTGTTATGCGAAAATATGCTGCATAATTAATTATAGAATATTAATTAATTATTCTTTTACAGATTAATTTCAAATTCTAAACATTCTGAAGAATATATTATATAAAATAATTAGGATAATTTCTATTAATCAATTAACATCTGTGACACAATAAAAAATAAAATCCAGTTTTTGATGTAGGTATCTCTTAGAATACTGTATTATATGTATCTGTCGCGATAATCGCACAACATATCGTGTATTATTATTTTCGCATATATTGATAAGAATCCGGTTTATCGTCTCCTCAGCATGTCGCGTGTATAATCGATGCATCTTGGATCTCTCTATGTTAACATTTATTCACCTGATTCCTCATTATAATATAATAAGTAATGTTATTTTGTCCATCAACTTAAGTCGATTATTATAAAATTTTAGTTTATCCATTGCTTGCTGTTATCATAAAAAGAAACCATAAACTAAATGTATAAAATTTACAATAAAATTATATACGCTTTTTTAAAATATTGAATTTTTAATAGTTAGCCTTGAATTCGTCCTAGAATTTTCTATATGCAATTCTTGAAACAAATTTAATCTACCTGTCACGATATTATTACTATTTTGATTTCATCAGGATCTATTAATCTTAAATCTTATTGTGAGAGATAGATTCTAATATTGATACGGACAATTTACTTAATATTAAGTGACTTACTTTTTGATAAGAAATTAGCAAGAAAAATCTTGTCATAATTTAAATAAAAACTCAATTAGAAGTAACTCATAATTGTTTTTTTAATAAACCGTTCATATAATTTTTACTTTTATGCTAATTTTAATTTCAATTTGATTTGAGTATATTCTTCACCAATAGTTTTTATTGTAAAATATGGCAATCTTTACTTACAAAGAAAATTCATGATAATCTTATATAAATAAAAAATTAACTGTCCTCTCTGTACAAAATACATATTAATTAATATAAAATTCTACTAGCAAAGATAAAAATATAGTAAAATTATCATACAATTTTATACATGTATACGTATATGTAAAAATGTATACAGGAAAAAATGGTATTGTCACCCTTACATTTGTCATAGAGTTGTTTAATCGATTCTAAACTCAAAGATACGAAACGTTTATTACTTAGGAAATTATTTATAGAAATGTGGCAATATTGTAGAAATTTACTCGAAGAGGAATGGAGTAGTAGTATCACCTCCTACAAAGATAGATTTAAAAAATTGGTTTTGTTTAAAAAAAACCAATAGTAGTATTTACAAAAAACTGTATTAACAATAAAGTAAAATCTAGCAGAACATATGCAAATATATACACACACATATGTAATTTTATTTCATGTAAACTGCTATAGTACATATAACATAAACTATACATTAACAGTAAAACTACACCGATTTATCAAATAATTATTTTCATATGAAAATCTCGTAAAAAGGAGGAGATATCAGCAATCAACATGCTTAGGAGGTTACATTACTAAAATGTCATTGTTTAACTTTGCATAACTCGAAATGTACATATAAGCTAAAGTTAAATACAAACAACACATTTATATATACATATATTAGCATGATAATACGTTCAAATTTAAGAAGAATGAGAAACTACGTGTAATTAAATGTTAAAACAAACTTAAAAATGTTTCTAAAATTGCATTAAAAAAATACACTATAATAAATATTGATTATTATGTATTGACATATCATAGTATTAACATTAGCGTCACGTGGTGTAATGGCGAGTTATTAAACAAATAATTTCATGAATAATCACTAGAATTTGCCACCTAATAGCGGAGATATTAAGAGCGGCCATTATACCTATACTAGAGTCATAATACTACCTTCTCCTCTAATTATAATTATATGAAAATACTGTAATTATTACGAGTTATGCCATTCACTATTATCGGTATTTAAATTTTAAATGAAGCTCTTCAGTGATATAAAAAAATCAATAGTATGAGAGATTTCATTCTGATCTACCACCCCGATCATCATGTTTCCGACCGACTTTATCCCGATAGGCTTTATCCGTTCACCCACGAGGTATCTTCCGTCTCTCGTTTCGTCTTAACGGCCTTGTCTATTAATATCTCAGCCGTCTTCGAGAATAGGCTTCGGACAGCGGTGGTTTAACGCACCGAAGACAGTTTGTGACTCGTCCCGATAAAGTGCAACAATGACTCGCCACAGGAGGAGGAGAGACGGATTCTGATAAGGGGTCGTGCACCCCGAGTTGGCACGCGTAGCATCTTGCTGCAATCGGTATGCATATAGCTGCTTTCGTCAACCGCGCTGATATTTCTTCATTTTTGTGCAAAACAATCGATTTCACATGAAACGTTCATCATATGTACGGTACGTTACGCAATTCACATGTAAGAATGACTTCCTTATATACTCATTATTTAATTTGTCTATAATTTATAAACTAGAAGATAATACAACAATTATTATTTAATTTCTAAGATAATTAGAATTAGTTATTCTTTTTTTTCGAAATTTTGAAAAGAGTTTGGAAGTTACGTTCAGATTGTTCTTTAGTTATGTTTTTAATAAAAGTATTTTTGTATCAAACAAAAAGTAATTGTGTCAGATAAATGCATTTTAAGGCTTCTACATTTTTCTTCTTTGTATCATATTCGTTTATATACTGTTATTATCTGCGTCGAGTAAATATCGGGCATCACGGTACTGTTCAAGCATGTCGCAACATCGCGTCTCCGCATTATAATCCTTCAAACAAAGAAGCTTTTTAAAAAGTTTGTATAACGCGCTATTTCCTGCTGATCTCGTAGAAATATATCATACAAACTTATTTGGATAGATCATAAGAGAGAGAAAATATACTATTTAGAAACTGTTATTTTAAAATTTGATTAAGTTCCTTAGCTATCAAACTATAATGATAAGTTTAGTTTTTTTATACATTGAAAAAATTTATTAAATTTTAATAAAGATTTGTTTGGATAGTAATATTTATTTGCTACAAGAACCATTAATTTGATCATCTTTTTATGAAGTGAATATTTAGTTAGTGCTATTGAAACAAATATTTATTAAAGTTTAGTAAAATTTTCTCAGTATACATATAATGATGTATTTGTGACCCGAGTTAATTTTTCATTATTTTTTACAAGTATATAAAATTATTAAGTGATATGACATATTTTAACATCACTAAAACTTATTTGTATTAATAAAGTTGTGTATTTAAAGAAAAAGATAAAGACCATTATCCCTAATCAAGTGTACTAGTATTTAAAAAAAAAAGAAAGAAATGAACAGGACACAAATGATTTAATTCTAACACAAGAATAAAGTGTGAGGAAAAGATATAAAGCTCTACATCTTTTCATTTCGAGAATCCCACCGAGTGACAAGAGCGATTCGTTTTTCTGAAAGAAGATGACGAAAGGTTGGAGCAGTCGAAAGTACTCACCATCTCTTGACATGCCGAGGCGTAGGCACTTTTGCAACCGACAGTACTGGCACCGGTTTCTGTTTACACGGTCGACCACACAATTCTTGTTCCGCGGACATTGATAGTTGACGACCGACGACTGCGACCGCCTGAAGAAGCCCTTGCAGCCCTCGCAGGTGATCACGCCGTAATGTACGCCGCTGCTTTTGTCCCCGCATACCTTGCATGGGATTATCTCGATCTGGGCTGTAACCATAAAAGAAACGAGCATTTCAATTACGAGCTCAAATCAAAATGTCCTGCAAAATTTTCTCTTGCTTCATAACCCCTTCTATTTCATAGTACAGATAGTACTTCATCAAACTTCAACATTCATTCATATGCATATATATACCTATGGCGAAATACTAAGGGACCAATTTTTTCTTTTTCTCTCTACTATCTTTATTATAATTCATTTTAAAATTCTTCGCGCGCTACGAAGATTTCCATTAAATTACTAAAAAATTTAATTCTCTGTACATGTAACGACGTATTATAATTTCTTCATCAAGAATATATTAAAAAGCATTTTTTTTCTCCGTACTCATAAAATAAGAAATAAATTTATAAGTAATATAACAGAATTAAATTATTATGTAGTTCTAAAATTCAAATCAATACATAATCTCGATTAATTTTGAGAGCCCCTCGTTTCGCGATAATCATTTTATTCTTTATTCTTTATTAAAGTGTTATGTCCATTGTATTAATTGTGAATCGAGTTAGAAATAATCGAAATTACTTAAAAAATTTTGATATGTTTATAATTCAGTTATAAATACATCATTTAATTCATTTCTTTAATGGCTCTACCTCGTATCGAATTAGCTTGCAATCTACGATCGTCGAGGATCGCGCTGCCAGCATCGGAAGGAGGCTGCGCGGACCTCTCTCTCGATCTCGATCTTTCCGTCGGCTGAGGACTCGTACTGTCCGCACCCCACGTAGACCCGCCAAATCCTGACAGACTTCCCTCCATTTACAGGTACTTCTTGCTGGTTTCATTTACGATCTATCGTGAGGACAATATCGGCTCGATTCGGAAGATCCACGCGTATGATCACGATCGAAATCAGTCGTCCGTGAAATGGACGTCCTTAATTAGTCTTTAATTAAGTCTGTCTTAAATGCACACCATCTATTTTCACGGTATGCTTTATGTGGGATATTACATAAAAATACATAGCCACTCTCGAAATGCGTTCGTTGAATTGTTCTTTAATTAAGTAATAATAATTTAAAAAATGAATACAAAACGATGTAAAATATTTTGGTGACCAAGTTTATTATTATTGGATGTTTTGATTTTGAATCGTATTCAAAATCAAAATTAGCGTAAACTATTTTCGTAAGAAAATTATTACGAAAGAAATAATTGAAAAAATTCTATATTTTTAAAAACTGTGCTTTGCCAAAAACTAAATCGTTAAATTAAGTCTTAATAAGTCTCAAAATCTATCGCTTTTTATCTGCTAGGGTTAGATCAAATTCCTCTTTTCTTATCGACGCTGACAAAGATAATGGCATTCAAACGTACACATATTGTGCTATCGCAATTTAATTCGATTTCTAGTAAACACTGGTATAAATTGTATGTCTCGACATAAATCATTATTAAATTCATAAGATAGAGATCATCTTTTAGATAGATAGTAATTATATTGAAAATTGTAAAAAATTTTTCAATTAAGTTTCAATATTAATTTATTAAAGAATTCATAGCTCTTGTTATTCTATATATTATCAAAAAACTTACTCAGGCATTAAAACAAAGAAATCTAAAAAGGCTTTTCACTCGTAATTACAGGAATTATTCTTTTGAAGTTTCAACTTTCCGAAAAAAAAAATGATTTCAAAGAGTCACAGAAAAAATCTGAAAGCTCTCAATAGCAGGGCTTGTTAGCGGCCAGAAAAAAGTTCAGCGCGACGGAGAAGAGTTTCGTAAAACAGCGAGAGAAAAAAAAAAGTGGGCGAGGTGACGTGATTATTCGCACGTGCGCGTGTGCGTGCACGGAAACGAGGATTCGGTGCGCGGCCGGTCCCCCCGGCTGGATATATACCGCCCGAATACGCTCTCCCGTCCGGCAACTCTAGCGCCACGAGCAGAACGTCGAGGCGCTTGCACCATACATACGCGGCCGAACATTACATAACCGAGAACGATGAACCCAGAGTACAGTCACCCGGCTCGCATCTTCGACGTGCGTCATGCCGAGAGCGCAGCGTGCACATCGGCAACGGTGGACAGGCACTATTACCCGGAACTCCCGAAATCGAAATAGTCGCCTTCCTCTTACGCCACGTCCATGTATTGTTGTAATTCACAATGTGCTTCTTTGTTATTGGTATACGAAAAATCACTGGTTGTACGATACAGCGCTAAAATGAAATTTGAGAATAATTTTAATATTTATTGAGTCTAATCAAATAAAGTGTATTCCTAGTAAAATAATTATAAAGTAATTGTCCGGGATTTTTTAAAAAGAATTTTTTACATTGTGTGTCTTTCAAATCATTAGTGTTTTGCTTCATTTTACTTTTTTTAGTTTGCTTCGTTAATCTCTTCTTCCAAAATGACTAAAGTAGCTTATGCCGGAACAAAGTTTTCTCCTACTTTGTATGAGAGTTTTTTTAAGCATCTTTGTTCGATTTATCTTTTGTTCTAGCAATTTCGGTGTTCCTTTTTCTACACAGAGAATGATATATCGCACTATATTTATTATAATATGGGTGTGCAAGAGTGATTTTTATATGTAGATCATTCCTATTAATATTTAACTCCTAATCAAGCAGAAATTATATATATACATGTACATTTATATATAAAATAAATAGTCTAATATATCCATATCGATGTCATTATACATATATCGTTAACCTATTTTTTTTATTTTAATGTTCCTCATTACTATAATTACTTCATTTTCTCATAATAAGCTTTAGTCAGACCGAGATAAAAGGAGACAATAATGCCTCGTATAAAGTCGTTTTACAAGTTATATAATATATCCATGGAAATTTTTCTATGGAAATTGTTGTAATATAACTTTACTAGAATGAGCAGACTGCACTTTAGCAAACAGAATGAAACATATTTTTCAAGTAATATTTTGAACAAGTGAACAAATTACGATCGTAATAACGTTCGTTTCTGAAATCTTTCTAAATCATATAGTATAACTCAATAATTAATCTAAGAAGAGATATACAAAAAAAGTTTGACGATAAATCATTTTCAAGACGAGTAAGGAATTCAGAAATAAGAATTTTACTCCATATTGATCGACGTGATATGAAGTTACAAACAAGCTACAAGTGCCATAGAATTATGCGCATAGGATTCATAAATGTTGTTAAATATATACAACTTCCCATCGTGAAGTGAACTACTATCTTATTTTCTTCAAGCTCTTATCTGCACACACAATCTGAACGAGCAATTCTGTCCACCGTGTGTAGCCGCGCGAATACACGAATAGCGCGTAAATCGCGAAACCGCGCGCAAGCGCGACGGAAAAGTATATTGGATCACGCGTGTACGCGCGACACGCGCTCTTTGCGATTTTCCACCTGGAGACTTTCCAGCCGCGCAATTCGACCGCACTACGCGTTTCCGTTGCATACGTTTACCACACATGTACACACCAGGACGGACGTATCGCCACTCGCGCGAATTCACGAGACGATTTTCGCGCGACGAGCAGAACGGAAGACGACGATGGAAAACGAAGAAAAGAGACGGTCTTCGCGCGAATTGATTCTCGTCAATAAGACGAATCACTCCAGCGAGCGCGGCGCGCGGACTTCCGTTCAACGCTCTCGCGCGTGTCCAGACGAGGAGACGTCGAGGAAATCTCTCCGAAGGCTGTTCCGAAGAAACTGGTGCAACGCGATGAATAAAGAACGGAGCAGGATGAAAAGGGGGAAAGCGAGGAAAGGTCCGCGGTAATTTTAATGCTACGCGTCGCGCAGTTGGCGTGGGAACACTCGCGGCTACACTCTTCAGATTTCTTTGGTCGATCGAGAATTTCGGCAGGCATCCGGAGCGTATATGACCGCGAGCGAAGAACGAGCATACACGCGGTGCGACTGCGTTTTCTTTCTCTCTCTCTCTTTCTTTCTTTCTCTCTTCGTCTTTCTTTTACACTTCTCTCTCGCTCGCGCTCTCTCTCTCTCTCTCTCTCCCTCCCCCCTCCCACCCACCCTCTATCTTTCACGAGGAGAACGCCGACCTCATCGCTTGCGCGTGCGGCCGGAAAAACTCGCGGAAAGTTCACGACTGGCGGTACGAATATTTTGGGGATTTTGACGAGCCCCAAAGGCGTCGGCAACGTGTCGGACGAAGGAGAGACAGAGAAAGAGAGAGGGAGAGTGCGGTGTACGCCCGCGCGCGGCTCGCAAATAAGAGAAAGACGGGTGAAAATGTCAGTGAGAGGAACGGAGACGAAATGGGAAGCGCGAGGGTAAGAGAGAAAGGAGACAACGGCAGAAAGTGGGAGAGCGAGACGGAACGAGGTGTTTTTCGAGGACCGGCGGCGTTAGCGGGCTGGCATCTCACAATATGTCAGAACTCCCCGCGGCCTCCCCCCCCACCCCACCCCCGTCATCGCGCGACGTTGCGGCGGGTCACTGAACTGCGCGCCTCCGCTGATGATGGCCGAGTGCCTCACCCTTTGCTCCCGCTCCGCCCCTCTTACCGCACCGACAGCGCCACACGGCCCCCACCGCCCCCGCGCGTTGCGGAGATTCGCGAGTGTGGGCGAACGTTGCCGGTGACGACCGACCGTCGGCGGAAACGGCCGAGAGCCGCGCCGGCTGGATTACGAGCGCATAGCGCGCGCTTTCCGATCTCGACTCGTGCGAAGCGTTTGCTTTATTAGTGCGCCTTGTTAAGGTCACTGGCGTGCTACCTAAATGCATGCGCGTATCGTGTTTCCTACATAGGAAGCGCGGCTCGTGTAATTTGGGGATTTCATGGCGGGGGGAGAAATTCCGGGTTTTTTTTTTTTTTTTTTTTTTTTTTTTCTTAGAGCGAAATTTGCTAATAAAAGTAGATAGAAAGACGAAAATAACATTTTTTAAAGTTCTCTAATTTTTTCTTAAGAATGCATTACATATATTTTTTAACAAGATGAAAAAATTAGTAAAAGATTATAAATTTTTCTATATTTTGTACTTGCGAAAATAATAATATACAAGAAGCT